TGTGCGTTTTGTATGTACTCTTCGTCAGCGCATATTTGTATTACAATCACAGACATAATCTTTATGTCTGTGATAATCACAGACATAACTGCTACATTTTGCTCATCTTTGTTTTCTGAATATCTTCGTGCTTCTTGTCAAGTAAACTAAACTGGAAGCAAAAGGCATCGTAGCACATCTCTTAGGTAGACCTGGAGTGCAATGGCAGTTGAGTTTTCTTTCAGTACTTATTTATTCTTATTATTTTGTGTGCGTGTGTGTCTGTGGCATGAATCCACTGTTGGCATATAGTGTTTATACACTCATTATTAGGTGCATGTGCACGACACCGACAAGCCTTTGTTGCAAATTTGAAATAACCAGTCAACACTGAAGAACTTTTAAACTTGCAAGTGTTTTTTGCTATTCAATAGCATAATACTCGCCATTCAATAGTATGATAATTGGCCTGCGTGGCAGCCCGTGCTTTCTGGCACCACAGCTGTGCGCAGGGGATTGCCAGCATTGTGGTGGTGTTTAACCCTCCGGTAATCGCCCTTCACCCACTATAGATGGCACAAAAAAGTGTGTGCTGCCATGTAGGTAGACTAAGTTGTTTGTTGCCAAGTGCTCTATATGTGTATGCAAGGAGACTGTATAGGCTATTTGGATTGTTCAATAGATAGATTATACTAATCTTTCACTACAGCCACACCACGTCAAAAGCCCCGCCGCAGTAGTCTAGTGGCTAAGGTATTCGGCTGTTGACCTGCAGGTCACGGGATCGAATCCCAGCTGCGGTGGCTGCATTTCCGATGGAGGCGGAAATATTGTAGGGCCATGTGCTCAGATCTGGGTGCACGTTAAAGAATCCCAGGTGGTAGAAATTTCCTGAGCCCTCCACTATGGCGTCTCTCATAATCATATGGTGGTTTTGGGATGTTAAAACCCACATATCAATCATTACCACATCAAAAGTTGTTAGCACTTCGAAGTGCTAATAGTTTTCATAGAATTATTAAGTTTAGAAAATGATATTTCGCTTACTGTCTCACTTTTTATTTGCTGTTTCACATACTTGTGTATAACCAAAGGCATCAGCTTTCTAAAATGCACACTATTACATGCACCGAGAGTGCATGTGGTTAGTTACAGCCTCTGAAATGGGAAGTTTGTTCATGCTAATAGCTTCCATTTTGTGTAGATAACTATATAAACAAAAGTAAATGTGTATCTGGCTAGGCCATGTTATCAAGGACAGATGACAGTCAGTTAGAGCCAACAGAATGGATACTAAGCAGCAGCAGATGTAACTGAACACGACTGGGGGTTTGATAGGGTGACGAAATTGAGAAGCTTGTGGACATTAAATAGAACTAGCTCACTTAAGAGGGGGTGAATTGAAGATGTGATGATCTTGCATTATATTTTAAGTTGGACTGCTGTCATAAAAATGAGTCTTAACATTTTGGTTTCTAGCCATCACTTTTAATGTGCATTCTTGCTGTGTACCAAGGACTGCTAAACATTGATGTTTGTGGAACAATAAAAAGGCTTTTTAAGTTGTCGCAGAGTTCTTAGTACCAAGAGACCCTGATAAATTTATGTTTACTGGGTGTCTCGGGCATTGGAAGATTTTTCTTAGGGATGATTAATGAGAACTGTCTTTATGGTAAGGAAGTAATAAGTTGAGTTTGAACATTTTCTGTTGCAAGTTGTGGAATGTTTATATTGTAATGTTAAATTATTATATGCACCATTAAGAGAAAAAGATAGTATTAAAACCCATGTCACCAGGTAATGTCACATTTCAGTGCTGAATAAAAAGGGATAGTTTTGCTGCAAATTCTACACAAAGAATGTGTCAACTGGTACACAACCTGGAATCTTATATGAAGTAAAGCTAGCAGCTCAGTCTTTTAGCGTGTGACCTTGCATAACTCAACAAAATGCTGGTGTTAGAAAACGTGGCCACTGCAGTGAGGAAAGCTACTTTTGTGCTGTGTGTGGCTTTAATGGAAACTTTGCTATGCGAACACAACACATGCAAAGGTATGAGAAGTCTACTGATACCTATAAACATATCAAGCTCGTAGATATTAGATACCAAGCTGTGCCGATATTCCACTATCACAAAGAAACGTACTCATCAGGCATCATCCTTGCAAACAGCCACACAAACTGAACCACCAAGTATTGCCACTCACAAATAAATTTCTTCTTCCAGACTACACAGTGTTAAATCTTGAATACTACAATTTGCTTCATAGATGAAGAGGAAAAGTTTGTCTGTAGGAGCTGTGAAAATAGAAGAATTACATGTTTCTAAATTGCACTGGATAATAAAGGTTCAAAACCTTAGTTTATTATTTTTTTTCATTTATTTACCCTAAGGGCACAACATGGGCTATACATAGGAGGGAGCATAACAATTCATATGAAAATCGAAATAGTGTAATAAAAATAAATGGGGGTAAAAAACAGAAAACATTAAAGAAAAAATAGAAATTTCTAGTAGTACAGAACAGATTTTCAACTGACATCTTCATACTGAATTTCCTTTGTTATACAAGAAATAAATGCACATATTTGTCTTACATATACAGGCATCGCGACAACATGGTTAGGATAGAAATTTTCGGTAATGAAAATAATTTCTAGTACTTATAGGCTAAAATGTCACTCAAATGCTTCATTTAAAGCATTTTTAAATACTGTGTTGTCAGCTATTTCAGCTATGATACTGGGGAGACGATTCTGTTCTGAGGTGCCTAGATGTAGGCATGAAAACTGTAATAGGTCAGTATGTGCAAAAGGTTGTTCAACCTTACATTTGTGATTGATACGTGAAAAAATCCTTTTGGCGGGTAAAATGTGTGCTTGAGAGAATGTACTTGGTTGATGAAAAAGCTGATGAAAAAAAGGCTAGCAGGCATATTTTTCTTCTAGTCTCAGAGGAGGTGAAACCTGAGTCATAATTCAATATTTGTGATGCTTAATTGCTGTAAATAATTACCAGCCAGGATAAAATGCGCTGCATCGTTTTTCAAAGCTTTCAATTTTGTTAGTAAAATACGTGTTGTGCAGGTTCTATATAAATGAGGCCTACTCAAGTTTGAGGCAGAGTATGGTAGTGTATGCAAGAAGTTTAGTACTACTGTCAGCCTGACGAAGCGTACGACGAAAGAAGCCAAGTGATTTTCATGCCACAGAAACAACAAAATACACATGATTTTGCCAAGACAAATTAGTGGAGAGATAAATACCTAGATATTTAAATGATGCTGTGCTTTCTAAGGCTTCACTATTGAAAGTTTAAGTTTCCTCTGTAATTTGGCTGGAGGTGGTAAATCTCATAAGCTTAGTTTTAAAGTAGTATTTGCACTCATTTGCCTTTGTGAACACCCTCTTTCAATCGTATACAAGTATTCTTATAGCTTAGCACAGTCATCCTTACACCTTATTGGTTGGTACAAAACGCAGTCATCGGCATATAGCCGGATTTATGATTGTATACTTTGATGAAGATCCTTTATATAAATAAAAAATAGAGTTGATCCTATAATGGAACCCTGGGGCACTCCGGATATAACAAATTGAAATGATGAAGAAACATTGTTAATCACAACGGCTTGCTGTCGGTCGCTTAAATATTCTTTGACCCAGTTGAGTACTTTTTCATCAATGTTTATCAGCCTCATTGTACGTAGCAGGCGGTTACGGGGCACATAGTCATGCATCTCTCAACCCATTCTGCTCCCACTACGGTTTCCAGAACCACTACTGCAGCAAAAAATGCTCCCAGCTGGGGTGAAGCATCAGGGCATTCACGAAACAGGTAGAGTGGATTGAAAGGAGGTGGAGAAAAGGAAGAGGAGTGGAACATGTGCACCCTGCATGTGCTTTACAGATTGTGACATCACAGCTGGCACTCGCGTGCAGCCAGGCTGAACGCTGACAATCGTCCACAAATACATCCAACTGTTACAAAAATACGTGAAATAAACTGTTTATCAAAACAGTAACATCTTAACAGTAGAATTTCGATGTTTTCATCAGCTTTTCCTACTTTTGTTCACTATCCTTATAACTAATGTAGAAGCTATGATCATCTCCTATCCAATTACATATGTTTATAGAGACTTTCGAGATTTGGAACCACTCCCTGGCTTACTTTCTCATCGCAACGTAAATATCTACACTTCTTGACCCAAATATAGACCAGATTACAGAACAATGCCATCCCCCAATAAGCAAGCTAGAGCAACTATTGAATATTGTTCGAATTTAGGAGCTCAACAGAAGGATGGCAACACAAGATGATATTCTTTGAGTTTATTTAGTGAATCACTGTTCAGTGTGGCCGTTCAGCCCCTTTGCCCATTGATATCATACATTTTGTGAACTTCAGCACATAGGGCACTTTCTTAAAACAACATCAATAAAGAGGAGGACAAAATTTCTACCTGTTTTTTAATCATATAAAGCAGCAGCTACCCACATGGTTGGGGTGTAATATAACCCCTTTTAGATAAATAATAAACCCTTTTGCTATGCATCGAGAGGCTTTATTTTCTTACTTTATATCATCAGTATACTGAAGATCTTTTTTTTTTTTTTTTGAAGCACTGCAAATTCATACAGCATTACAGCTGTATCATTGGATTGTAAACTTTCCTTCAGCTTGACTGGAATCTTGTTGCATGGGACCCTATGAGCATAATTTCAAATGTTTCAATTCTGCATGTAATTTGCTCGTTAATTCCAATCCATCTTTTTCACTCTGCAACAGTGCATGCGTCCTTCCCCAAGCAGAAAATTTGAGTTATCTCTTCATCTGAGTGACTTTCCTTTAAGCGACATTGGTTGTCCCAGCCTCTACCAAAACCCTACCAAAACAGCAGAGGCCAGTTCAGAAAAACTTTCTTTCGCTACAAGTACTTGAGTTTGATACTGCATCGGAACTGTGGAGTGTAGATAGTGCTGACAGGCTTAGCTCCAAAATAATCATATCGCCATTATTGATGTGCTTGTGTGTTAGTGAACTGCATTACTGTGTATGCAAGGATTCAGCTTTCAGGTCTGCAGCTCACTTCTTTATTGCCGATAGTCTGCAGGGCCTCTCATCCTTCATGGCGGACAGAACATAGTCAAGTTTTGTCCCACTAGTGGATCAGATTTAGACAGAACTTAGGCACGGTAAATGATGTGAGTCAAATCGTGGAGCATCGTCCGAAGTGAACCAGTTCATGAGCAGTGTTCGCATGAGGACTTCTCCAGCAAGCCTGTTCTCCCATACCTCAAATGAGAAGCGAGTTGTCACCAAGCAGTAAAACAGATGCACTTGTCAGTGTTAGGTACTTGTCCGTCTCTGACTGTGTCCGAAGGTTTGCATCTCTGGAACAAAGACACAATGCCACTGTCACATGCTGTATCTTCAATGCACTTGGGAACTGGCAATAACTGCAGTGGAGAGAAGTCTGAACAATCCCTTTAGGCATTTGTGGTTTCCCTATCTTCTTGCACTTACTAGTAATATGCAATCCATTTTGAAGGACCATGATCTGCAGTTTTAGAAACTGTTTGCACAGCTCAAGTAAGTCTCGCATATCTATAAGTAAATTTTTCTTTTCTTGTTAGCCAGCCCTGCCAAGACACTGTTAATAGAATATTTGCTTGCTTGCATTTTAGAGTACTTGATCATGCTGTGCACAAAAATAAGCAGCACACTTCTTCTCACTAATTCAATATTCTATCATATGTGTGTATGCAGGCACCCAACAGTACAGCACCAAGCAAATTACAGCCCACAATGGCAGAATTCATCCACAACTATTTCTTGAAAACCCGCACTCACTTTCGCTCAAAAATTACTGGAGAGTTTTTTAAAGCCAAATTATTGCAGTCATAGTATATTAAGTGATTGGGAGTCTTAGTATATTAAGTGACTCTAACACTGCTCTGTTATGATGGCTTAACCTTTCTGCCTCAAAAGCGTTGGTTAGATACACCTTGAAGGGACACTAAAGAGCAAAACAATTTTTTTTGTTATTAGTGAATTTACCTTTCATAATTCTACTATCACCATGCTCGCCCTGAGAAGGCGCTTGGTAAGCGAAAAAATGTGCAAGAAAAAAATAGGTAGGGACACCACCTTGAAATACGTGCACTAATTGCCGTGGCATCATGAATTTCAACAGTGTTTTGTAAGGCCTACATAGCTCCTAATCAGTAAAAATGAAGCATAACGTCTGCTGATACTCAACATACCAAGTTTTGGGAAATTTCGTCGAGCGAATGTCACCGAAATACACTTTGAAATTCGTGACTTCGTGCGTGCAGGTTTCAGCACAAAATTTTAAAATGGTACTTTGACTTCTATTTTCTCCTCCAATAATGAACTTATGATGGTAAGATTAATGGCATTCCAGTTCTCAAAGAACACTTCATCAATGTACAGCAATTCATTGTTTCACCTTAGTGTCCTTTTAACATGTTATTATTGAAAGTATGAAGTCCTGGCTTTAGTCCCTATAAACAGAGGCATTGCAGTTTCAACTATATAAATGCTGGCTGCAGGAAGATAAAATTTTGTCCAATATTTTGTTAGTACAGTTGTATATTTTGTTAAAAGGGTACTGACACAAAAATTTTCATTCCTCAGTTTCTTTCGTCAAATGAAAGGCCAAGCGCTCAAGAACCTAGAAAATGTTCTGCTAAGCACAAGTACGCCCTGAAAAAGTAATTACAGTGTGTTTTTAAAAGCTAGTTTCAGTTCCTATAGTACCCTGACATCACATCACAGTACGAGCTTCTCATCACATGCTTACGCAAGATATAGCGACATTTCTGCGACCCCATTGCCCCGTAGCTTCGTTGGTGACGTTCATGTGGCTATTTTATGTTTTGGTGACACACAAGTGGTCATTTTGGAAGTTTCGGTACCTGACGTTATCACAACCAGCCAGACTACAGCATGAAGTTACCAGAATTAGTACTGTAGCCTGACGTCAAGCTAGTGTTCATGTCTGTAGGTGTGTCGTGAAAAAATTGACTTTAATATCAAAATAAAATATCTTATTAGCATTTTCCAAGTGTTACTCTGCACGGGTGTCATCCCTGTCTACTCTCTTTAAAGAAAAGAGGAGGGACATCACTATCCTTTTAATATGCTAAGCTCCAGGACATGCATTCCATTCTTAGCCACAGAGGCCACATTTCGACAAGGGAAAAATGCAAAAGCACCCTTGTACTTTGATATTGGTGCATGTTAACGAACCCTGGGTGGTAGCAATTAGTCTAGTCCCCATTGCAGTGAGGCTCATAATCGTATTGTAGTATTGGTGAACACTTGGGAGCACAACCTGTAATGCTTTCTGCTATATGAAGCTAAAAGCATAAAAACTTGAAGTGTTGTAAGGAGATTCTTTCCTTTTTTCCTCTACAATTTATGTGCTTCTGTTCTTTATTATTAGTAACTGTTCTGTTAACACTGGATTTCAATTTCCCACTAAATTGCTAATTGTTGAGCTCAGGCTTGTAGCCACAGAGAGAGAAATAAACGTTTATTTAGAAACAGCGTTCCGAGTGAGGCCCGGTATCACCCAAGGTTAGACGGTTCCCTAGCCAAGGAATCCTCTGGCTTCGACTGCCCTCTTGGCCCTGGCGACAAATTGTCGCTGGTCTTCCAGGTCCTCGAAGACGAGCTTGGCCTCCCACGTTTCCATTAGGTGGTCGTCGTTTATTCTTGGGGCTTGGGCCAGCATTTTTTTTTTTTCGAGGGAAGGGGTACTTATTGAAAACCTTAAAAAACACCTAATTTATGATTTTTTTCTGGGTAAAACACCCCCTTCATAGGAATTTCGCAGGGGGGGGGGGGGGGGGGTTCAAGAGGCCCCTAACCTTTCCTCCTGGCTATGACACTCATTTAATTTAAAAACTGCATGCAACATTTCAATTCTTTTACGTTATGCTTTCTACTCACTCACTGAAAATAACTGTTCCCACTTCATTATCTATTCTCTCTTTGACATGTGCTTACTTTTATAATTAATTACACCACCAAAAAATTATTACACTTTTACAATCAGCATAAAAAATTACATGGATAGCAGTGCTTTTAAACTGAATTTGGTTTAAAAAATTAATAAGATAGCTCTAGGTATCATGTCTCCTCTTTTGCACTCAGACCCACAAAGTGTCATAAACTCAATAAGCTCACTTTACCTCCCTTCAACTTCTAGGTTCTTGAATGGCTTTCCAGCTGTAAAATGAAAACAGTGGTGAAAATGTGAAATATTGTGCAGTCAAATGCAACTAGTATGACCAGCAGGTTTACTTTATGGCAAAGAAATACATAGCCTAATTGTATAGCTATGGACTTCAACGAACATTCAGGCTGCCTTTGTCTGGTTGCACTACTAGCTTTTCTGCTTGGGAAGGCTATAGACCCTTTCATTGTTTACAAACCCAGGCCCTTGATGATGTTCAGTTTCATCCACCATTGTGCTTTAATAGCATCGGTGGACAACAAGAGCTTTAGAAAATAGCCCGCTAATTTTCTACAGTTTCCTTATTTGGCAAAATATATTCAAATAAATGTTATTTTGAGCTACATAAAATTGTAAAACATTTCCTTGTACTTTACACACGGTTCTTTTATGTGAAAAACGAAAGAGAGGCTTTCCTTACCCTTGAAAAGAACTTGAAAACGTGCTTTCAGTTTCGACATTGGGAGCTGGGAAATGAGGTGACCAGAAGTTTTTTGGGGTACAATGCTTGCAACCTTGAAACTGTCTATAATATAGAATAAATAAGCCTCAAGAAAACATGGCCACTTTTGTAGCTTCAGAATTCACTTGCTCTTAATAATTACTATGTTTAAACTGAGCCTTTATTTGGTTGAATGAACTTGTATGCACTAGCAGCAGCATTCATACATGTAAGTGCAGGCACCACTCTCATGTGATAGTAAGACAATTTCTTTCATGTGGGTATCTTCGTCCTGCGCCCTCAGTGCCATGCTATCAGCAGTCGTGATAAGCGGCAGAGCACACGTACCTTTTGGAGCCGTTGTTTCAGATAAGAGTTACTAAGGTTCATACGAGGGATGTCGCACTAGAGAATGTAAAAGCATGTTTTGGTTTTTACATCAGAATGCACAAGTATTGACCCGGCAGGCTTGTCATTTCTGGATGTATTCACACGCAGGGTCTTGTATTTGGTCCTTCGCTAAAGCTTGTGCAAGAAACGGACCCTATTTCTATGCCTTACTTGTTCTTGTTTGCTTCATGTATAGCCACAACCAAGCCAAGGTACTGCATGAGGCCAACAGTACCAATATCACTGAGCTAAGGAACGTGTTGGGAGCAAAGCGACAATCAGCTGCCAAGAAGACTTCAGTTTACTTCATTGCTTTTACTAATCAACTTTTTTATAAGAACTCTATGGAGCTAGACAGGAGCACATGTTTAACCATGAAGTGACTGTGCTTTGGAATAATTTTGTCATTGGACTGCATTAATTTCTTATCGTTTGTCCTGTTGAGTTCCTGATCCAGGCAATTAAGGAGCCAGAGCTTTGTTAGCTGACAACAGACGTCTGAGAAAATGAGACTTCTTCTGTGAATGGCACCAAAGATGCTTTTACGATTAGTTCAAACTGTAGATTCTTACTTCTGATAGAAAAATTCCTTCTGCCAGCAATAGCATCATCACAATACTTCTGCTTAGTAATCTGAAATCTGTACACACTGGGGGTGTCCAAACATCCAAAAATTTCAAATAATGAATCGAGTAGCGTTCTATTTGATTCAATAATCAGATTGAATAGTGCATACTCAAACTATCGAATATTTTTCAAATAATCAGTTCGGACAGTAGAGCGAATAAAAAAACAGGTGTTTTAATTAATGAATTACTAAGCAGGTCAAGCTCTTATGGAACTATTGAAGCTTTGCTTTTCACCGATTGAAGGAATTTCACTTTAACTTTCCAGAGGGAATGTGTCCTCAATCCACCATTATTATTTATTAGTCAGAAGATGTTCCTTAACGAAGTACTCTTTAGCTTTTTGGTCTTACTGTTAATTAGAGGCTGCTGAAAAAGTACCACCTCTAAATAAATATTGAAGTTAATGCTGTATGCAACCTACAGTTAAAAAATACCCGAAAGATTCTAGTCTTTACAGTAAATGACCTTACCTCAGTTTACATTATTACCACATCTTCTGTTGGTTTAATGTAACTTTATTAAAGAACACAAATACCCTATTTAAAAACGTTTCAGAATTCAAAGCCTGTCTTGCAAATGGTTGCCTTATCATTAGAAAATAAATTGTATTCAATAAGTATTCAATTCAGTTCTCACTATTTGTACACAACTAATACACAAAAACTTGAACAGTAAAGTACTATCCGAAAAGGGACACAGAAAGCAAGTAACATCAGCATATTTACTTGTAGCCAGAAGGCGGAACAATTACTGCATAACTGCAGCTTGCACTTACATTGAGTCTATCTCTGCTGCAAACCTTAGGCTTGAAATATTGTCTTTTCCCTTACTAATCAGAGGCAGTCATTGCACCAGTGTGACATAAGCAACTAATAAGGACAAAGCCTGAAAGTGCAACGCGATTCAGTATGCTATCAATACAAAACAAGTGACGTGACCCATGGTGGGAGGCAGTCGCTAGTGAATGATAAGACTAAGCATATAAGTGTCCCGCGGGTGGGTCCCACACACGAAGCGAGAACTCGGCGAGCCCAATATTTTCCAGAGAGCTGTCGTGACCTGAAAAGCGTTGCTGCAAAGGTATGCATACCTGGTCTTTGGAATTATGTTGTCATTCATTTTGGTCATCATCAATTGCCAAGTTGTTGCTAACTTGTAGCTTAACAGTGTCAGCTATGTAGTATATTCACAACTAAAAGCTGCATGGCTGTAAGCACTTAATGCCATAAAAGACTATTTTTTTCTCCATTCTGCGTGTCAGTGTGTAATGCTAATGTATAATACTGGAATAAAAAATATTTTTACACAGCATATACATCTTCTGATATATTTGGACTGCAATCGTTGAGTTAACCAATTTTACTATACACTCGCATTATAACTAAAAATGCCACTTATGATTGTTTTTATGATGCCTGTTCTTTTATTGTGCAATTTTAATCATCTTGAAACTTGTACATTGGACATGAAAATCTATGTACGGTACGTGCGGTTACTAATGCGACATATTTTAATATAATGACTGGTATGTGCAATAGCTAGGAAAAAAAAGCACATCATGTTGCAATGAATGTGGTTTCACTATAACTTTGTCTGCCATCTGTGCACGAGTGAAAATTATGCCGACATGACCTAATGACAGGAACAAAAGTATCTGCGTTACGTAGTCCTAAACTGTCCTATTTCAATGCACAAGTACTGTACATGGGTCACAGGCATGTTGGAATGCATTCTGGTGACTGCACAGAGCTTGTGTGCCACTCCAAGCCAAGCTCTTCGGTGTACACGAAGTGCACTGTGCCCAGCTTCTACGATCTGCTACTCTGAAAAATAAATTTTGCAAAATGTGGCACACATTTTGATGCTGCAGTACCTGATTAAAATAATACAGCTCAGCTGAAAAATATATTGCAATGCACTAAAGCTGGCACTGACATTACAGTGTGAACAGGCAGCACCATTCCATTTTTCAACAATATCTGCTTTCTTAAACTGGATTCTAGGAAAAAGCTCGCTGTCTTGTATAATTTTTGTGTCTACCTAAAAATAGTTAATTTTGACAGACACTTGAGGCCTGTGATATGCACTCAACTGCAATGGACCTTTTTCATGATTGTAAAGCTTCTTGTAAGGCTGTTTGCCAAGCTAATACTAACAGTCATTCTTACAGCCGGAAGGTTCAAGCATGCTTTGTCGTGAGACTTGAAAATGCCATAGCTCTCGTGGTGAAGCATGCCAAAGAGATGAGCCTTGCATTAAACCGCTAATACATTTAAAAGACAGATAAATGCTATTCAAAATTAGGAAAAGGGGGCCATTCAAGCTACGTAGTTTGATGATGTGCTTCTGAAAATAATCCATTAGAAGCTTCCGTTTTCTCCCCCCTTTTCCTTGCAGTATTTTACATAGATTGTTCACTGATCCTTAGTAAACTTTTTGCACAAAATTTAATTTCTATGTGATGCATTGTTTGTTTTACTTCAACGACGTTATGCATAAGAGAATGATGGACGCTCTTTTTACTTTTTGGAGCAGAAAAAATATCACTTTGAAGCAGCCACAAGTGTTTTCGTAGCAAAAAAAAAAAATGCTAGTTTGGAGCAGCTATTGGTGTTTTAGGAGCAGATTGCAAACTATGCCATACAACTCCTAGAATTCAAAGTGTCGCCGAAGTGTCACATAAATATAAATGGTTATTTACGAAAGATGTTTTACGGCCTACAGTCAACGTAAATTGTAAGAAAAGGACGATTAGGTTGCTTATCGAATGCTCGTGGTATGAGCTATATATTTCAAACACAATCTACATCATTTTTACATATCACTGAAATAGCCTGCATGTAAAATTGAAAAGAGCTGAATGATTTGAAAGCTTGATATGCCAGTTCTTGTTGCATAAATAATATAAGAGCCAATAAAGTTGCATGTTAACATGATAGGGTCACAGTACACAAATTGCTTTGTTTCTTTAGGGCTTCAGCATTTAGCAACACAAACCACAATATGGAGCAGCATGTAGCAGCATTTCTCTTTTGGAGCAGTACTTCCATCACAGTTAACAGCTACTCCCCAAGTTTTAACAGTGCAGTGTGAAATAGTATAGTGAAGTGCTGCTATTAAAAAATGTCAAGATATACAAAAGCAGCGGCCGAAGAATACTGCCTAAAAGTGGTCATGAACCAACCCACTGGCTTGGTGAAAACGACATCCCGGAGAAAACAGACACTGCTATGTATAGCTCGGCCAAATCTCGCAGTCGTGCGCAGCAAGAGCATCCTAGAATTGAAGCGCAAAGTTGACATTTTTTAGAGGCACTCACTCTTCATGCCTGTGCTCTCTGGAGTCAAACATCAGTTGGCATGGTATTTATTGGCCAATAGCAGACTTAAATCAAGAGCAGTGCTTGGATCAGATGTGCGCACTTCTCGCCACGGGTTGCCACCACATTCCGGTGCCATTCTTCATAATCTGCTCTAACATTACGCATTAGTCACACTAACGCACACAAGGAACAACAACCGGAGAAGGCAATAATATTTCATCTTACGCACTCGAAAGTAATGAAATGCACCGCCGTAGCTTTTTTCCCCCGTGCTATATACAGCCGTGCCATCCCTCCAGACTCGTCGGGACGAGAGAAAGTGCTTACAGCATGCGTCGTATCCCTGTAACTCCGCTCCACCTTGACGAATTCAAGAAATGTTTTTGCGGCAATAGATTGATGAGGCAATAAACTCTTACTAAAGTCATTCAATGGTTACCTTGAAAAATCTAGCACATGCCTGTGAGGGAACCATGAGGAGCATGCAATAGAGTCAAGGAGGCGGCAGGAGTTTCGTAAGAGTTTGTTAGAGTTTCTGTTGGCAGATTCAAATTGCTCGTCATTGCATTTCTGCCATTGAATGCATTGGTGTTGTGAAAGGCGCCTATGGTTGGGGTTATTGTTAGAGATACGTTTGTACGGTTGACACTCTGCTTTTTCTTCTTTATTTATTATTCATCACTGTAGACCACTTAGAGCAGAGTCGAGTGGGCGAGGGCCATTTTGTACCGTTGAGCTACCGTGAAGCATCGGATAAACCTCGAGCAAAATCGGCGCGCGGGAGCTGAGCCAGGCGCAGCTGTGGGGCATGAGCAGCACAAACAGGTGGTACTGGTGTGGATGGCAGAGTGATGGAAGGAGGTAGGGCCAACCATAAGCTGCTTCGCATCTAAAAGTGGTTCAGGGAAAGCACTCTAGGTGTTGCATCAATGGTGGCAGAGGCAGCCCAGCTGCAACCAATCAACTGAGAGCAAATCAAAAGAAAGCTTGAAATATAGCTGATGTTAAGGTGAGGGTTATTAGGATTCGACATGATAATTTCTGAGAAGTGTAATGAATTATGCACACCTAATGCAGGTACCCAAGTTGTACCTTGAAAAACAAAATATAATGAATGACATGCGGTTGCCACTGTTGCAGGTAGCCATGGGAGCAGGAAGTGGAGGCAGCTGCCTGTGGTCCCTTTTTTGGCTTGTAGTACTCATTATCCTATCTGTTCCGGTGGCTGGGATCTGTGCCATCTTATACATCATTGTGTCGATCTTCACACCCTGCATTGCACCACTCAAATCCTTTGAAGACCTCCTTCACAAGGGAGTCAATTTCCCACACACATGCTCCCAGAACATGGTGCATGGAAGTTCACTATGATAATGACCTTTGATGAATGTAGATATATTTTGGCAATGTTCAGCAGATACAATCCGATAAAATTACTCATTAGCAAACACATTGTTTTTTATTGTTGTACTGAGAAAACTGTGATCAACTGCAGTATCTTGTAACAAGACTAACAATTAAAATGGCTGAAGAATTCAGTAAAAATCCACTAAGTGCCTTATTTATTGTGGCTTTTGCTCATGTTGGATTGATTACGGTACATCATGAAAGATTTGCAACATTTGCCCGGGCAGGGTTATCAGTAACACGTATGCAAAGATTGTGATAACTCAGTTTTTTATAAGTAGGAGTAATGAAATAGACATGAATATTGGTGGTGGGCTTTAATGCCCTGCATGTCATGATAAGGGAGAGGAGATAATAAGATAGCTTGCTTTTTTGTTTGCCTCCATCACTAAAGTTTCCAGTTGTGCTGATGGTAGGCCTTGGATTTGAACATGTAATAGTTTTGATTGTTCAACATTTATACATCATTTCTTCAACCCAGCAAGAGGCTATAGTCAAACAGGTTTAGGGCTAATAAAATAGGCAGTATGCCTAAGCACTGCAATGCTTAAGTTCAAAAGGCAATACTATTTTGGGCCATGTGTGAAGCTTCCTCCTAAGTGATGTGGATATTTAGTTGAACCCCTTTATAAGAGGCATGCTCCAGGCTTCTTGTCTTTTGTACGAAATGTCTCTTGCAAGCCAAGTACCTCGTATGCATTTTCTCATCAACCCATATTTAACTGTAGGCATGCTGGTGTCATTTATATCAATGTCTCTTATAAAGAGGTTTGACTGTAGACTAGTTTGAGTAAATGTTTTAGATATCACTATAAATATTAAGCCATTAAAGTGCTGTTAAACACAACTCCTTGGTATGACCTTGGGCATTCATTGACACCAACCTCCAAGACCGTAGTCAAATATTTGTGCCGCATCCACTAAGCAACTACAAAGGCCATCAAAAGTTCCCAGGCCACTATCCCATGTTATTCCTAAGGCAGCGTGGCCTGGGAATTTTGGATGAAGCCTGTACATAAGTCATCTACTTAAATGCTACTGCTTGTTGCCCCATCCCCGTGGCTTTGCTCAGGTTGCATCTGAGTACCATATCTCCAGACTACATATGTTTGTTTCAAAACTGCTAATATACTTGCTGAAAAACTGCTGGTAATATCAAGTGACTATACTTTACAGCAGGTTACAAAAACTTCCAACACTTCACAGTTCTATTCTAAACGCAATTATAATTTTTTTTAATGCACACCTTATGTGAAATTTGGTCTACTGAGGCAGCAGTCAAGCATTTGGCCATCAGACTTGAGAGAGACAGAGTTAGTTTCTTCTATTACAATACTACAGTAATCGACTGGGATTCTGGCAATGAATTGAAAATATTTTTTTACAGCACAGGCACTAGAGCATGTCCCATTTTTCTTTGTGCTCGTGTATAGGTTAGTTCAGATGTCAAGAATCAATGGCATGCTTAGCGTCAGTTAGCGATTATCTCATCTTGCAATACTATAGAAAGAACACTTGAGGGGAGTTTTCACGCACTTTAGTGTTTCTGCTCTAGCACTGAAGAGAAGTTAATTGTCAGGAAAATAAAGTGCTTCCCTTTTAGAATAACTTTCTCATGCAAGCAAAGTACAATACTAACTATTAACTCAGGTTTTTGTGCGAATATTTATTCACTGTTCCTGCATGAGCTCCTCAGTCTTATACAATCAGACATATGCTGTTAATTTAACAGTTCTTTCAAAACACACTAATGCAGTGCACATATTATTTTCTGCCATAGCATTGGGGAGCCAAGTGAAATGCTCT